TAAACATGTGTCAGTTCAGAATAATTGTAAGCATGACACCTACTGAAGGTAGACCACACGCATCATCACAAATGGCATGATCTTCAGAAGGTCCCGTCCATCCCTCTGACACTGAACCCAATGGACTCCAGATGCTCCACTTTGGAGCCACCTGCATACACACCTTGGACTGAAAGGAAAGCAGATCCGTCCCGGTTGCTGTTCTGGAGGCTGCATCTGATATGCCCGGAATCACTGAGCTGCACATAGTGGATTATCATCTCAGAGATGAAGTTACCGCCCACCTCGTAATTCGCAGAGGTAAAGCGGTCGTTGGTGATGATAGGTTCCGTGGGCGTGATGCTCAGAACCACCGTGCCATTGAGCGCCCACATGATGAGCTTCCAGCCCTGGGACACAGTGCAGTTGAAGCGGGCCTCCGAGCCCTCCAGGACCGTTGCATTCTTAGGACCTTCTATGATTTCAGAACTGGATCCAGAACCTAGAAGACAACCAACTTTTCAGCTCGGTAAATGAATTAATCTACATAAATCAACTGTGCAACTTGACCCTCCTGTATTTACCAGTTATGAGCCCCTGGGATGTCCATCCTATTCAGACTCCAGGTCTTACTGGTCCTAACACCAGGCCTTCCCCAGTAGATCTGGAGCTACCAGGGGACACAAAGCCACTGCCATGCCCCCCTTTTCACTCTGCCTCCATCACTCCATGATTACACTGGGCTGAACAGTATTGCCCCAAAAGTTTACATCCACCAGATCCTCAAAATGTGACCTTTGAAAATAGGGTATTTGCAGGTGTAATTAGTTAGGGACCTCAAGCTGAAATCAACCTGAATTTAGGATGGACCACAATCCAATCACAGGTGTTCCTATAAGAGAAGACAGAGGAGAGCTGAGCCCCAGAATCACACAGAGGACAACCCCATGTGAAGATGGAAGCAGAGACTAATGTGTTGCATCTATGAACCAGGGAATGCCCAGGACCTCCAGCCACCACCAGGAGCCAGAGGAGAGGCGTAGAGCAGATTCTCCAGCGGAGCCTCCATAAGGAACCAGCCATCCACTAGTGATTCTCAGGCCTTGCAGTCACAGTGGTCGACCTGGGACCCAAACTCAGACCTTCCCACTCTGAATTTCATGTTCTTTCTCCCTCTGATGTCACTCAGAGTTTATAGCAAGAAGACCCCCTGGTAGGCCACACACCTGGTTTCTTCTCAGCCACACCTGCTGCGTAAGACTGAAACACATTCCTGTTCCCTTCTGGGGCTGTAGGATCTCTGTGGCCGACCAGCTAACCTGCAGTATGCACTGAGTGCAGCCCCCCTTTCCTTCTGACCGTGTAAGGTCAAGTGGTAAGGCAGGTTCTGAAAGCACCTCATTATCACCCTAAGGGTTTCTGAGGAGGAACCACACTGATGGACACACATTATCTCACTAAGCTAGTACCCAGAATGCACTGTGGGAATGGAATTGCCTCTGCAGGAACACGTTAATAGGAGAGAGACTGCCGCACAGAACAGGGCCTGACAGTAGGACAGGTGGTAAGGCGACCCGGGTCAAGAAGGGGACCCATTGGCTGGAAAGAGGCAGCCCTAAGGGGAGGTCAGAATTCACTAAGACTAATTCAGTGTTTGAGTAAACATGATCTCTATTCTTTGTTTTATCCCTGGACATGATAAAAAAAAGAGAGAGAGAGAGAAAATGTGACTAAATAGCAACTCAGATCGGGTCTTCTCCCTGACC